ATCCATTACTCATTACCAGCCGAGAATTCAGCTGATCCATCCATGCACCAGTCCATCTGGTCGGTGGTTTTTTCCGAGGACGTTTTGCTTTGCTAGGAATTCATCAGATCCTAGTGTCCATCGGTCGCCTGTCCTTCTCAACATATGACCAGCCTAGCGATTTTTTTACCTTAGAGACGTATTCCGCCGAATCGCGAAGACGAGACATTGATCTCAAATCGGCGGTTGTACTTCAGAAGACGTCGTTCCAACGCTCTGTGGGTTGTTCGGAGTACCTTTGAAGTAGCCACAGTTCAGGCCACGTCTCTACTTCGTAACAGAGCGCAGGGAGAACGGTTAAATCGAACAGGTGGACTCGGAGTCCTAGGTCCATCAGTTGGTCGGTTTCCTTTAAAGGCCCGAAGGCGGCCTAAGCTGCTCTTCGCCTCCTGTTAGGTTCTTCTTTCAGATCGTTCTCCATATTCATTGAACGTCCAACTTATACGTAAGAAGACATTTCCGCGATTGGAGAGCTTTCTAATTCCATTTTCTGATCCTCGCAAAAAGCTTTCTTCATGAACTGTGTCTTCTTCCAGTTAATTGCTGTCCTATCCGCTTCCCTACTTCGTTTAGTCCTTTCAACATCGCCTTCGCTTCAGTGATACTTTTCGAGAAGAAAATAATGTCATCCGCAAAACGAAGGTTCTAGAGAATTCTCCATCAGTTCGTATACTTCTCTCGTTCCAATCCAGTGATTCATCACCACTGCAGTGCGGCCGTAAACAGCTTTGGCGGCACGATGTCGCCCTGTCGAACCCTTCGAGATTGGTATGTCAAGGGGACGATGGAAAAGCTGTACCTTTGTAGAGCAGTTGCTGTAGCAGTCGGCCAATGTCCTCACATAAGAGTCCACTCCTTGGTTGACGAGCGCTGACAGTATGGCATTGATCTCGACGCTGTCAAACGCTTTCTCATAGTCGATAAACGTTAGGACGAGAGGTGTGGTACTGTGGGCAAACCTCGCTAATCCTCGAAACTGCCTGGATGTGATCCACGCAGATGAATCCCTTGCGACATCTAGCTTGTTCTACAGTTTAGGCTTCTTCCTGTTCTTGACATGCAAACTAAATCTTCGTGAAGTGCTTGTGAAACACGCTCAGCAGGCATATTAGACGGTGTTTCGGTGGTCCTCCCTGTCTCCCTTCTTATGAAGAAGGATTGTTCGGGAGTTCCTCCACTGGTCGGAAATTTTGAAGGTAAGACGTTAGTATTCCGCAAGCATCTCGTGTAGGCGATGTCCTCCAGCTCGTAAGAGGTCG